GAAATAAACTAAGTAGGTAACATGAGAATAATTAATTACTTAAAGAAAATAAATAGAACACCATGTAACGTGAACAACATAGTAAACTGTAGTTATGACCCTCCTGGAGCAGTCGGGTAAAACAAATCTACTTGATAATATGTAATTTTTTCATAAAAATAATTTTCACAAAGTTACATAATTATTAGAATTCAACGTACTTGCTTAAATTTTTGAAAGTTAATGAGTTTTTTCAATCAAAAAGTGGCACCTCCTTAGTAATTATATGTATCTACGTTGAGATGTTGAGACCTTTGATGATCTGAACACACAGATGTTAACATGTGCTGTGAGGCCTACGGATACAAAGACGGCAATATTGATGAATGGGTCTCAAATTCCGAAAAATAACCTTAAATAAAAGTGACGTTTATCGTAACTTCGGTAGAACACGAGCGTAACTGAGGTTTCTATAATTGTCAGAAAAGTATTTTTTTCTCTTTCACTCTGCTAATATTACTTTTATTTTGTTTTCAGATGCATGAAATAAAATATGTATAGATGATCACTATTTTAGCCAAGTTGTTCACAAGAAACGGTTAGATTTTTAAAAATAAATTATTAGAGTATTATTTTTTAAAATTGTGCCCTTGTTCTACCTAAAGTGCGATAACATTATGTTTTTCAAATATGGATAAATGAAAGAAAGGGCGTTACTGCAAACGAATGCGTATTGACAACAATGGGGATGTTGCCTGGGTCAAAAAACAAGAGTTTTAATTAGTCCGTCAGTTAACTTATCAAAAAATACTCTACACGTATTTTTCACTTTTTCAAAATAATGAAATGCGCAACTTCAACGCACCATAACTATGTAATTATTTGTTAGATTGACAAATAAAAATATATGTGTCCAATATTTTTTGATATTAAACATTACGGACTAAAAAAATTTTTTTAGGCAACTAGCCTATTCAAGTAGAGACAACAAAAAGCATCTTGTGTAAAAATTAAATATCTGTAAGTACGTAAAAATTTTGTAACGTCAAGACAAGAAGTAGCAAGAAATTGCGTTTTTCATCGAAATCTGTAATCAATTGTATTATAATAAACATAAAAGTAATGTTGATGAATTTGGTACAGATATCTAACAAAATTTGCTTACAAAAACTGGAAGGATGACATATAGGAAAGGTAGGGCTAATTATTGGATTAAGAAAATTTATATAAATGCTTTGGTAAAGAATGTCTTAGAATGGTATAGATTTATGTCTGTGTTTTTGTTCGCATGACGTGCCAGACATTCTTTGTGAAATCGATGAAAAACTAGTTACACCTATTAAAATTAGCCCGAATATAATTGCAAGATATTTTGATCCAAACAAAATCATTACCTAGTTTACAAAAAAAATAAAATATTGTCAATACGATTAATTTGTTTCATCAACCCTCTCATCTTAAATTAGTTATTACATTCGACCTAAATTATTGATTTGTTTTAAATGTCTATTATTGTAGTAAGAAAGTAATCTAGGCCATAAATTTAGTTTTCTTAATTTGTAGCTTGGCAATGGTGCAGCATCATACATTACGAGCTAACTTAAAACTATGCAGATTGTTCAATGTACAAGTATCTGCAATTTTTTTCTTAACCTATTGTACATCATTCTGAGGAATATCCTTAATTCTAGTTCTTAAATATTACTTCTAATAAATATGTTGACTTATATAATTAAGTTAGTTACTAAAAAGCAATAAAATATACCAATTACTACTTGATACGGAATGAAATATCGATAAAATAGGTTTCAACTCTCAAATAATTTTAAATGAACATTAGTTGAGGCAATTATAAATGCGTGTATAAAAACAACAAAAGCTAATAAAAAAAGTTAAGGAAAATAAAAACACCACTCAATAAGTTTGAGTGGTGTTGCAGATTGGACGTGAATTTGATGTTTTATTATTATAGCATTGAAATTAATTACTACAGAAGCTTGTTTTCATGTGTTCGTTTCACCGGATCGTTGGTCCACCTACAGGGAAACCTGCCCACACTCGTCTTCCTTCCGGTCCGTAGTCGCCAAGAACTTTACTGCCCCAAAGCCAACAGCTCTACGAGCTATGCACCTACTGTTCCCTCATTTCTTCGAACACATCGATGGTTTTCATGTGTATATTTTATTAATTCGAAAATATATAATAATGGGTAAGCATTTAAAATGAAAAACCTAACAATTGTTTTAAAAATTGAAACTGACCAAAAATTATTCCTGATTGAGCTGGATTGTAGAGCGAATAATTTGTCGAAATTTTCGAAGAAAAAAACCTTTTGATTTAAAATATACAAAACAAGGCTTTGTATTAATAAATTTCAATGCTATAAGTAATCAAACACCTCTTCCACGTACAGGTGGTGCCCAAGGGATGCTGCAACCCACCCCCTGGGTGTAGGACGTACTCTTAGTCGCCTCGTACGACACCCACGAGAAGAAAGGGTTGGCCTTATTCTTTACCACCGAGAGCCACACAGTGGCTACGCATGTATAATTGTCTCAACAGTAAATCATTATAAGTAGGTATGTACCCAAAAATCTAAATAACAAAACGCAGATGTAAAATATTGGAACTCAACGTCATCGATCCTAAAAGAATTGCAAGATTTTTTTTTATTGTTTGATAACTTTCAATTGATATCCGAATGAGAGTTGAAACACAATAATCTAAATCGTATTTTATGAAAGCTTATTATTAATACCCACTTTTCTCAAATTTCATTCAATATACAAAGGAATTATTTCTAATTGTTTTTGTACTTGTACCATTATCGCGATTCCCTAAAAATACGGAACTGTTTATTATTATTATTTTTCTGTGACAATTATTATTGAGATTAACATGAATTATTTACTATCTTGACAGCTGAAATATTTTGCAAGTTTTACCTAGAAATACAGATAGCTATTTTAAAAAGATTTTTACGGAAATTATGCCGTTACAAGATACCGAATACATGAAATTAATAAATAATAAGTAAAGTAAAGGTTACATAAAATAGGCGTTGACAATGAAATCAGAGTGAGTTTTGATTCGAAGAAACAAAATAACCTTCCCAGAATTAGATTTTGTAAGTGCCATTATTACTTGATGTTGGTGCAATTGAATGTCTATTTTAAAAAAAACATTGGTTGGATATCTTTGAAGTTAACTTTTAATGATCCAACGATTAATTTTTGTCTAATAGTGCAGTTACAAATTATATTTACTCGTCTGCTATTGACAGTTATATGTACTCGTAATTTCAAATTCATGAGTTTATAGTTTCAAATTATGTAGACATTGACTGAATTTACTACAAATCTACATTGTTGAGTGATACAAGAAACGAAAAGGATTAGGTACCACTTACAATTATTATTAAAGATTTTTAAATGCAATGAAGTTAAGATAAAAATAGAAATTGATAAGTAGCATTAATTATAATTTAAATTCGTGACATCAAAGAGTGACAAATTCTGAAAACTGATGTTTTTACAAAGGTAAAGATTGGAGAGACCTTGGTGATATTATTATCACGACATATTTAGATAGTTACATGGTTTTGGGACATATAGCATTGCTCATATTATGTGTTTTTGTATTAGTTCTTATGGGATATGTTATGAGTATAATGAAGAGAGTTAAAAAGGTAATAAGTACAATCGAAATGTAGATATGAAGTCAGATAAATATTATAAAATGTAACCTTTACTACATCAAATAAATTGCACCTCCCGCGACAAGCACTTTTCAAACGTCTGCATCCCCACTTCCCACCAACGTTGGTACCATTTGAAAGCCTAGTTCTAAACTTCATTTCATTAAAGGAAAGGTTTTTACCCCAAAAATGTGTCTTTACAAGGATCCAGAGTCACTTCTTCAAAAAATAGGTAGTTACGCTATAGCCATTTTTTATGACTATAAAACTGTTAAGTTGGGATTAATCGCTATCCATCTGTTAATGAGGATACGTGAGATCTTTATTTGGTTTTATAACCATAAAAATTGATCTAATTAATCCCAGAGGTGAGCCCAAAGTGAGGTCTATTTTCAAATCACATTTATGGTATGTGTTAATCTATTTAGAAATAAAATGTATTTTTCACACCAACACCAATATTGTTGGGGTACCATGATTGTGTCAGAAGAAAATCTTTAAAGTTCGCGTCGCGGAAGGTGCGGTTTATTTGATGTTGAGTGTATATCTATGAGAAGAGAAGGGGATTGAATTGTTTAAATATAAATTACTAGTTAATATGTTATTGTATGCCACATTATGCAGCCTTAGATCACAATAACACAATATTGATGCCGTTAATTTGTTAAAAGAAGACGTTGAGATAGTAAATAAAGTAGTAATCAGCTAAAGACTTAGGCAAATAGATATTTATGATTAGAAACTACCATATCGTTAGAAACACTATACTATACTATTAAATTTATCACCCACAAGATGTGTTATGTATATTTGAGGGGAATGTTCTCTTACCTAATAAGTTTGTTATTTCGACAACACATGAATTTTACACGCTACTGATTCTTAATACTATACAGATTATTATAAATATTGGTTAAATATTATTATTTTAAAAAAGCTGAGAGACGCACTATAACTATAGACTGCTAAAGAGTCGACTTATAAGCTACATAAATATCCTTACTAGAATTGTTAAGCAATTCGATGTCAATGTAAGCGAGATCCTATCAGTGGGTCTAGACAAAGTGCCATTATAATCGCAAACCAGTCGAAAAGTGGTCGAAAAGCCCCTTTTTTGTATGGAATTTGACGGATTCGATTTTCGATTCGTTCAAAAAGTGCGTTTTGTCTAGGGGGGCTGGCGTCGCTAGTCAACGCCGCGTCGTAGAATATTACGACAGATTTCATAAAGCATAGAAATACAGTCACGCAAATATGCTATAAGTTGGGTGTGAAATATACATGATGCACCCAACTAAATATTACTCTTACTATCCCTTCCTAATTAATTACAGTTATCGCTTTGTTACACATTATTTTGTATATTCTACAGGCATATAAAATACCGTATTAATCCTACACGCTTAGCAAATAACATCTATGAATTCTACACATTACAGTTTCAGGCCACACGTATCTTCTATCCCTTTAATAGGTTTCTTAATCTAAATAATAATATAAGAAAATCTACCTTACTTAGAGAAATAACATATTTTTTGTTCCTTCAAAAAAGAACATAAAGTGATATATAATTTATGTCCGAATGTCTAAAAGGTTACACTTTTGAAGTTCATAACTCGTATTAAAAATATATGAAATAGATATAGGTTTGGATTAAATACAAAATTGTAAAAGGCACACTGTAATGTTTTATAGATAAATACACGACGAATGGAATATCATTCGTATTTATATATGTATAAGGTATGACTCTGACCGAAGAAGCTTAGCTAATGGGAGAAATATAATCATTAGACTTGATCTAGTTTTGGTAAGATACAAAATTTATTTATTGAAATTTTATGAGCAAAATTTTTAAATGTGCTGGAATTGTGGCAATTATATAACTAGGCGCTGTACTTGATTTTTTTACTTCATAGTTTGTTTTAGATTCGTCAGTCTAAATTTATTAGCTTGCCACAATAATAAGCGCGGAATAAATCTGGGGCTGTTACGAGTTAATTTTGCACTACTTGTCCATCATGAAAGGTGATAATCGTGCCATGTTTGTAACTAATGCTAGCCCCGATGACTAAGTGGCTAATCAACGTTTTTTAAACGATTAAATTTCATAAATATTAATATTTATTATATCAAATTTTGTACCAATGTAATAATTTATCAGTGCCCGTCATTTAATTTGTGTGTGCCCTTTGAATTAATTGGCACTAGCTATAATATGCCATTTTCATTTAAATGCACATCTCTGGGTTTCAGCTCAAAACATACTGCATATTTTTTCTTATAAAATAAAACTTTTGAGTATAATATTTTTTTATTAGATTTGATTAAATAATTTTAGTAGGTACTTTAAAAAATATAGAAAAATTTAAATTTCATGAAGACTTCGTTAATGCATCATGATGTAGTTAGGTAAGATAATATTTTTGATGTAATAGATTAAAATGGGTTACACAGGAAATATTCAGTAAATATTTACGAGACCGATGTCCCCTTTAGAAAATACTAAATGTTATTGAATTACAGTCAATTACAAAGAAAAATGAGAATATACGAGCCGTAAGAGTAATATAACAAGTTGTTATTAGAAAAGACGAAAAAGAAGATATTTTAAGTCGCAGACTTCATGCTAAAAATAGCCATAATAATATGAATTACTAAGTATCTCAAAAATTTTAGTGTTTAGTTAATAAACATTAAATACTTATAAGATTATAGAAGATATACCTTTCAGAGCTAGTATCTTAAAATTACAAATACATCACATCAAATTTTTACGAGTAAGCATCTAATGCATACGCATCATATAACATCAATTTATCAACGCCCTACGAGACGTGTACTTCATTAGTACCTATATTAATTTTGACAATATATTGGTGTGCCTAATCCCGCTACGTACAATCCATACGTGGGAATTATAAGATAATAGTTAATGAAGACGAAAAAAACAAAGCAAAGTGGATTGAACTGAACGTTTTACAATTACATTTTAAGTAAATCGAATGAAGGTCCTTTGATCTGAGTCAAGAAAGCCTCATGTCAAGTGTAATCAAATACGAGAGTTAGCTCCTGGGCGAATGCGCCCGACATGTATTCCATGTTGATCGTTATTATGTTGTGTAGCGACATTTTTGTTCTTTGCCAAATCAATTAGTACGATGTTTTAACTGCTAAAACATACTCGGCCTACACAAACATGAATTCAACCAGTTTATTTATAAAGTAAGCAGCATAAGGCACTCTTGATGCCATTCTGTGAATTGAATAATATACATAAAACTTACAAGTATTCTTGCGGGTTTCTATTCTATGGCTACATGTATGAATAAACAATTTTAACAACAAATCAATTCATAAATTGAATTCATTGAAAAAGATGAATACTTCCAATAGTATATCTTAAATACGCGATACGACTACACATTGATAAACTTATATCTACGAATAAAATAATACGAGACTTAAATATGAGTTTGATCGGAATGTTGTCAAAACGATGCCGGTGTCGTCTTCAGAATTTTGAATCTAAATCAGCGAAAGTCGGTAAAATGAGATTCTTGAAGTATGACGCTGCACTTTTCAATGTTGAGTAGAACTCTCGATTGACGAGCGAAGTTGTTGGACAGCGGGTAGAAACTCTCAGGTACCTCCTCTCACGGCGTTTTAGATGTCGAAAAAATGTGTAGTCAAATCTGGGTCATCAATATGGGGAGGAAAATATCTGGAACTCCATTTCTCAGTTGTAGGGCCATTCCTGCGCGGGTGTCAGTTGTTTTTAGTCAAGATTGGTGATCTGAACGATCTTGAATCCTGGTTATGTGTAGTTGGATGCCCGCTGCTGCCTCCACGCGGCATGGAAGCCGGCTGCAGAGTCCGAGTCGGAGTCTCCTTCCTCGCTCACCCCAATCTGGGCTCGGGGCTGAAACAAGACGATAACACTTACATAACATTGCAATGATAAGTATTTTTTAACAGGTGTACACATAATAGAAGTAACATTGAGACGGAGAACAATCATTCGTATTTAATATTAGATTAGGAAAATAATAAGATACAGTTGCTAGAGTTTGAATGGATATCAGTCGGACAGTACTGTACCTTTGTAAAGGAAAATCTATACATCTAGTAAAGGGATTAGTCAGTAGTATTGTTAAATTTAAAAAATAAGTTATGTATATCAGCGTACACATGCCTATTGCAAAACCGCATGGAGTTTACCTGATACGGAATATTTCCTGCTTTTCACCATAAAAAAAATGTTTTCGTTAAATATCCAACATCTATTAAAAACTGTCTGAAAACATATCCAGAACCAGGTAGGTACGGTAAACGATAAATGAATGTCATTGCTATTGATTGAACTAATTTACTTTTTTCAAATGTTCAGATAGTGGAAAACACTAGAACACCCCAATCAAAATGGCCGTCAACGCAGCGTCACCGGCAGACGCGCAAAATGCAAAGAGGGGAAGGGGTGAGTTGATCGATAGTTAATTGCTGCAGGGCGCATGTGCAACCTTGGGGCTGCTTGCAAGGGCGTACCCTTGCCGGTGCTGTTTGCAAGGACGTACCCTTGCCCTTCACCAACTTTCATGTGCGTAATAACAATAGAGCTATAGTAATTTGCATATGTTAAAGACGTCTCTAGCTGCGCATTTCTTTCCAAAAGGGAAATTAAATCATTGACAGTTGAACTTAGAGGAACTTTAAGAAAAATGTAATCACTATCACTAGGTAAGTATAACGACTAACAATCATTTTGTAAAAAAATGATTTCTTTATAAAATGTAGTGAATTTTGTAACTACTTACACGGAAAGACGCAATTGACGTTGAAATTGTACAGACGCGGTAGGGTAGGGGTTAATCAATCGGTAGTTAATAAGTCCAGGCAACATTGGGACTGCGTAGCCCAAAAATGATTGAATTCTAGAATATTTTAATGATGACTCAGCCAAACTATCGAAAATTTGCAAAACGTAAGTACCCGATTCTTGAGGCAATGTATAATATCATTATCACAAATCACAAGTCACTAACTCCGAGTATTTTCACAAGCATTCTTTATATGTGTAGACGAACGTGTCGTAATCGTTTATTTAATTCACGGTCAAATGTAATGATTAAAATAATCTATCAAATACCCAAGTTTGGGTGTTCCACATGTTAATTTCAGCAGACTGAACGGGGTAGGAAAGGTAACGGAGCAATCGATTGGTAATTAGCGGGTGCAGCGCGCATGTGCAACAATGACGATGCGTCGCTAAAAACTGCCCAATCATCAAACATATTGATTTATAAGTACACAATATAAATTATTACGACAGTAATAAAAAATCAGTGAAACTTTTTAATGATCGAAACAACTAAACATACCTGATTCTTAGAACAATGTTTATCACTATCACAAATCACTAAACCAATCACTATCTTTCATTAAATCAAATCCTTATTTAAAATATCTTTTATAAATGATATTATAAATTCACAGTCAAATGCAAAAACTGCATAAAATTTTAATATCTGAGTCAAGATGTTGCACACCTTACGATTTCGCCAGACTGAACGGGGTAGGAGGGTAAAGGGGCAATCGATCGGCAATTAACGAGTGCAGCGCGCATGTGCAATAATGGCGATGTGTCACCCAAACTGCCCAGTCATCAGAAATATTGATTTAGAAGTCTACATTAAACGCGTAAATTATTAAGACAGTAATAATCATAATCAGTGAAACTTTTTAATGATCCAAACTACTAAACATACCTGATTCTCAAAACAATGTTCATCACTATCACAAATCTCTAAACCAATCACCATTTTTCATTAAATCAAACCCCGATTTATAATGCTCAAATGTAAAAACTTAATATAATCTTAATATCTGAGACATGTTATGCACGCGTTGCGTTACCGGTGGCGGACTGGTCAGGAAAGCAAGGGGTCAATCGATTGGTAATTAGTAAGTGCAGCGCGCATGTGCAACAATGGCGATGCGTCGCCCAAACTGCCCATTTGTTAAAACTATTTATTTTTAGGAAAATATTTAATAAGGGATATACTTAAGAATAAGCCCAACTATTACCGATCGAAAGTTAGCAAAACACATTACCTGATTTTAAGACAATGTATATCACTAAATAATCACCCACTACGAATGCATTTTTAACAACCATTATTTCTCATGAAATCTAGTCTTGATTAACAAAAACACTGTCAATTTTAATAACTGAGCGAAATATTATAAATTTCCATGTCCGGATATTGCACGCGTTGCACAGGTAAGACAGGAGACAAAGAGGAAGTGGAGAATCGATTAGTTATTTTAATAAGTGCAGCGCGCATGTGCAACATTGGCGATGCGACGCCAAAACTGCCCATTGGTTAGACCTTTTGCTTAGTAAGTTTAGAATATTTAATGATGACTATAAAAAGAATCGGCCAAACTTATTACCAAATCTTAGTCTGCAATACATAACCGGCTTTTTAAGCAATAAATCAGTGATCACTACATAATCTTCAACTACGTATAAGTAATTTTCTTACAATACTTCTTCATGAAAGCGATTCCCGACATACTGGACAGGAAAGGAAGGGCTCAATCGATGGGCGATTAATAAGTGCATCGCGCATGTGCAACAATGGCGGTGCGTCGCAAATAATGCCCTTGGTTTTAGCTATGGTAGTACGTCTAGAATATTTAATGATGACTAGGTACTAATAAAAAATCGGTCCATTTATTACCGATGGATAGTTAGTTAGCAAAAAATACCTGGCTTGTAAGGCAATGTATACGTCACTATCACTGATCACTACATAATCTTCAACTACGTATAAGTTATTTTTTTTTCAATTTTTTTCATGTAACCGATTCCCGATTTCAAAATTCATATACTTATTAGACGATATTAAAACTCCACGGTCTAATGTAAAAACCGAGTAAAATTTAACAATATCTGAGTTCCGGTGGTGCACGCGTAGCGCTTCAAACAGACTAGACAGGAAAGGAAGGGCTCAAGCGATCGGAAATGAATAAAGTGCAACGCGCATGTGCAACGATGGCGGCGCGTCGCCAAGACTGCCCATTGGTTAGAGCTATTGATAAGTAAGTCTAGAATATTCAATGATGACTGTAATAAAGATACAGACAAACTTATTACCGAATGATAGTTTCAAAACATACCTGGCTTTTAAGGCAATGTAAATCACTATCACTGATCACTGCATAATTACCAACTGCGTAAAAGTTCAATTTTACAACCATACTTGGTGAAACCGATTATCAATTTTAAAATATAAAAGACAACATCAAAAAATCACGGTAAAAACTGAGCAAAATTTAACAATGTCCGAGTCCGGTGATGCACCGGGCAGACTGGACAGAAAACGAAGGGCTCAATCGATCGGTAATTTAATAACTGCATCACGCATGTGCAACAATGGCAATGCGCCGCCTCGGCCATTATGGCCATTTTTAAAATAAAAAGATTTGCAATCACAAAATAACATACTAGTGGGTCTAGACAAAGTGCAAATTATAATCGCAAACCAGTCGAAAAGTGGTCGAAAAGCCCCTTTTTTGTATGGAGTTTTGACGGATTCGATTTTCGATTCGATCAAAAAGTGCGTTTTGTCTAGGGGGGCTGATTCAGATGACAGTGCACATCACTGTCGCTGATCACTACATAATCACAAACTACGAATTTGTCAATTTTTTACAACTATTCTTTATGAAATCGATTCCCGATTTTTATAATTAAAAATTCACGGATAAATTTTAAACTGAGTACAATTTCACAATATCTGAGACTAGATGTGGCACGCGTCACGTTACCAACAGTCTGGAGAGGAAAGGAAGGGGTCCATCGATTGGCAATTAATGACTGCACCGCGCATGTGCAACAATGGCGATGCGTCTCCAAACTGACCATTAGTCAGACATATTGATTTATAAGTGAAGAATATGGATATGAATAATTAAGGTTTTCAAACTTTTTATGGATCGAAAATTAGCAAAACATACCTGGTTTTTAAGACAATGTTCACCACTACCACAACACAAATTACTTAATAATCTTCAATGAAGAGTATATCAATTGTTTATTATTCTTAATCATAAAATCTATTGCCAATTTAAAAACAAACACTTCGAATTCAAAAACTGAGTAAAATATTAACAATATCCGAGTCCCGGTGTAGTATGTATTGTAAGTGTAACTACCTACCGGCAGACCGGACAGGAAAGAAAGAGGAAGGGGTGAGCGGAAACAAGTGCAGCGCGCATGTGCAACATGGCGATGCCTCACCCAAACTGGCCAATAGTCTGACATATTGATTTATAAGTCTAGAATATTAAATTAGACGGATATTAATAAAGCATCAATCAAACTTTACGGATCGAAAATGAGCAAAACATACCTGGTTCTTAAGGCAACGTTCACCACAATCACAAATCACTTAAAATCCGATTAAGAGTAGGTGTATGAATTGCTTATTATTATTTATAAATCATAAAAATATATTGCCAATTAAAGAACAAACACTTCGAATTCAAAAACTGAGTAGAATCTTAATAATTTCAGAGTCCCGAACTCCGATGATGCATGTATTGCCGGCAGCTGGGACAGGAAAGAAAGAGAAAGGTGTGATCGGAAACGAATAAGTGCAGCGCGCATGTGCAACAATGCAGGCGACGCGTCACCAAGACTGCCCACTGGTTGGTTACAGTTATTGATTTGGAAACTCTATTTATGATGGCAATACTAATTATTACCGATTGATAGCAAAACATACCTGGTTCTTAAAATGTTCATCACTATCACTGATCACTATGTAATTAGTAACAACTAATATGTTATTTTTTTACTATCGTTCTTAACGAAATCTATTCCTTGTTTTAAAATATTTAATGGACAATAGAAAT